CATCAAATCACTAACAACAGCTGTTTCAAAGTAAAGACCCTACAATAATTGGGAGAAAGCCCCAACTCTCGAACAACACCCTGTGAATAACCTGTGAAGTTTATTCTGTGAAGTTTTGGTAGCTTGCTGGCCTGAAGTATCCAGGTGTGTGTAAACAATGCCACAACTCCCCAGGAAATTCAAAATACAGACCCCATCAATGCTCAGATTAATTGCAAACAACCCATTAGCTAGATATCGGACTCTACAGGCCTCATTTAGCATGTCAAATGTTCATGAACTCCTCTGAATATCATAATATTAAAATGTCTGTGAAATGAGTGAAATGTAAGGCCATCTGTCATACTAAAGTTTGGCTGAAAAAAAATCTAAAACAGAACAGTTAAAAAAGAAAAGAGTGTTGTGATGGCCCGGTCAAATTCCAGACGTCAGTGCTGAAATGCTGTGGCAACACATTAAGAGAGCTGTGCATAAACAAATGCCTACAAACCTCAATGAATTGAAGCAGTGACATAAAGAAGATGGGGTTGAAATTCCTCCACACTGATGTGAGAGACTGCAAAGGTCATACAGAAAACAATTACTTCAAGTTATTGTTGCTAAAGGTGCTTCTACAAGCTATTGAATCGTGGGGTGCACTTATTTTTCCACAGGACTGCATAAAATAATGAGAAACCTTTTTTCCCATGACTGTATGCCTGTCTTTTATATACTGCCTAAGGTTTAACCGGTTTAAAAACCAGAATGTAAAAAACGTTGTAGTTTTATGGATGGGTGATCCAGACTAATTCTTTCCACTGACAGCAAATTATCAGTCTTGGCAACTTCACACTGTAAGAAAGGCCAGGTTATATTTCGGAGGCTAGGTCGAGAAGTTATTCTTTTAATAACTTAAATTTAACTGAATTAAATTTTGTGTTTATGAGGATGAACCTGAGGGCAAATTGATTTTTTTTTAAAACTCACACAGTCACAGAAACTAAAGCCAAGCCTGCTTAAAGATTTTAATATTTCAATTTCAGTAAACAGGCCAAAACATGCAAAACAATTATTTGTGATTTCAGACTTTTTACTACCTAACCATTAGGTCTTTTCGATGATTTGTAAATAAGAAACATCTTTAACATGTTAATGTTCTTGTAATAAGATGTGGGGTTTTTTTCTTCTCCAATGTTTTAGCTGGGTTCCCAACATCATTAATGAGAGCCTCCTCTTCTACCTGGAGATGCAGACAGACATCAGTGACAATAGTTTGAGGAATATCAGGAACACAGCGCTCATCACATGGTTTATCATGGTGGGTTTTAACAGGAAACCAGCGTACAGCACGCTACTTTAACCTGCATGCAATGCCTTGAAAACCTTTATATTCCACTCTTTCAGGGTATACTGAACCCCATGCAGGCTTTCCTTAACACCCTGGCCTTTCATGGCTGGACAGGCTTTGACATTGACTTCAGCCTGCAGCAGAGGAGGGAGCTGGTCTGGGACTCTGTCTCTACTTCAGCAGCTAACATGACTTCCCATAACCCTGTGGTGGGAACTACTCTGCTTTACCAGAGTCACGTCCAGGAATCACAGAAGAACATGATGGGAAACGGGCAACACCACTCTGATGCCATCAGCGTCCTCTCAGAAGGTAATCGGCATGTCAATGGTGGTAGCAGCTCACCAGTATATCAGGGCTGGTGATGCTAAAAAGATATCAGCATCATGTACTGTATGGGCTACCTCCCCTTAATATGAAGTACGGTTTAGCATTTTCTTTGAGATCTGAATACTGTTATGTTTTGGTTTGTCTTTTTTAAAAATAAATTAGCTTTATCAAGGTGTTGCAATGGCCTAGTCACAGTAGAGAGCCACTAAAGCAGACATAAAGCTCACTGTAATTCATTTTAAATAGAATTTTATATTGTACTGCTGTACTGTAGCCGACGCTTACTGGGTGGAACCATGAATCATGCTGTGACGTTACGCAACACCCTCCACAATTATCTTAATTTCTTTCTTTTTTTTCCGATTTGTACTGAATGCAACAGCAATGGGAAACTGCAGAGCACAGGAAGTTAATAGATTTTCTGTGGAGAATAAACTAAAGTGATTAGAACTTTGCTGCTATCACTCTGAATGTGTTGCTTTATTTATAGATGACTGACATGCTGTGTAATTTCATCAGCTGCTGTTTTTCAAGGTGCTACTCTGGTGCCAAGCTATCACACAGCGCATTAAGTGCAGATAATAAACAGAGAGCAGTGGAAGCCAATAAGAAAGAAAAACAGGTAGAATACATCACTCTGTCCGATACTGACTTTTAGCCAGGAAAAATAAGGAGATTAGATTCTGCATATATACTTTCAACAGCCACTTTATTAGGTACGCCTGTTTAACTGCTTGATGTAAATATCGAATCAACCAATCACATGACAGAAAATCAATACATTTAGGCATCCAGGCATTATTAAGACGATATACTGAAGTTCAAAGTGAGCATCAGAATGGGGAAGAAAGGTGATTTAAGTAACTCTGAACACAGCATTATTGTAGGAGCCAAAGGGGCTGGTCTGAGTATTTCAGAAACTGCTGACCTTCTGGCATTTTCCCACACAACCATCTCTAGGGTTTAATGTCCAAAAGAGAGAAAATATTCAGTAAGCAGCACTTCTCTGTATGAAAATGCCTTCTTAATGCCAGCAGTCATAGAAGAGTGACTCCTTCAAGCTGATAGGGAGGGAACAGTAACTCAAAATAACTTTGGCAGAAGAGAACACATCAAACCTGGAAGCAGAGGGGCTACCACAGCAGAAGAATAGACTTTGGTGCCACTTCTGTCAACTAAGAACAGGAAAGTGAGGCTACAGTTTGCAGAGGCTCACCACAATAGAAGATTTATTTTTAAATTTAAAAATAATAAAGTTGCCTGGTCTGATGATTCAGAAAAGCAGGGATTTGGCATAAACAACATGAAAGCATGGATCAATCCTAACTTGTATCAAAGCTCAGGTGATGTAATGGTGTGGGGCATATTTTCTTGTCACATTTTGCCCCCCTTATTATTAGCTAAGCGTTTAAATGCCACAGCCTGCCCGAGTATTGTTGCTGACAATGTTCATCTGATCATGACCACAGTGTACCCATCTTCTCGCGGTTGCCTCCATCCCCATGCTTCCTGTCAAGACTCCGATTTCTCAAACTGATTTCTCGAACATGACAAAGAGTTCACTGTACTCAAATGGCCTCCACAGTCACCAGATCTTAATCCAATAGAGCACCTTTGGGATCTGGTGGAACAGGAGATTTGCATTATGGATGTGGAGCTAACAACTCTGCAGCAACTGTCATGGCAATATGAAGCAGAATCTGAGCAATGTTTCCAGCATCTTGTTGATTCCTTGCATGAAGAATTAAGGCAGCTCTGAAGGCAAGAGAGGGTCCAACCCCGTACAAGTGAGGCGTACCTAAAGCGTTCGATGTTGTATGCCAATTACATCGGAAAAAGAAAATGACGAGTTCATTCTTTGACTTTCCAGCAATATATTTCACAAACAAGTTTGCAACTTACTGTGACGCACTGCTTCACATCTGCTCTGTGATTCATTCTCTGCTACATGCGCTAAAAAAGGATGTGAAAATTGCAAAAAGGAATTGAAGCTGCTCTGCTGGACAAGCTGTGATAACACAATTTTCAATTTATGCTAAGCATCCATTAAGCTGCACCAGCTTATTAAAATGAGAAAAAAAAAATTGTATCAAATACAGCAACATTAATTGGTCTATAATTTGACATCAGTGCATAATATAGCAGCAATTCTAACTTATAATTTGAAGAGATTATAACGCTACAGTCCCTCAAAAGCTGTTTTAAACTTAAGCTCATTTTTCATTGTGAATATTCAAACTTTATATGCCGAGTCCTTTTGAATATTGTGGAAACAACTCCCAGTTATATCTATATGTACTGTAGCTCAACACTTATGTGCATTTGCATGTTATTTTGATCCCTGAGTGACAATTGTGCACCGTACACCTCATGGACAAAATCCTTTCAGTGCTTTGTACCACCAGTGTCCCTGACATGTTAAGTATATTAAAAAATAAAGTTAATCTTTGAAAGAATATGTTTTTTCCCCCATTCTTATTTATAGACCATGTTTTTTTTTTTATGCATTTAAAAACCACAAGTCATCATTTCCACATTAAAAGCTGCATGGAAAGATGTGTTAACACAAATACGCAGTTTTGATAAGCTGAGGTGGTGTAATGCGCAGAAGCACCAAGTAATCTACCCCTATTTTGTCTTGCTAGGTTCAGAGTCTAGTACAGTTGAAATCCACATTTCCAGCGAGCTACAAGACTATGAGGATGTAGACGCTGACGGAGAATCCTTGGAGAACTCTGTGAGGCACTAACTGGGGTCGTCCACAAACCACCTTCCTCCACTTTGCTGCACCGCATTGTTTTTGTAGTCACTTTTTTTGTAGATGGTCTCCCATTAAGCCTTTGTTTTCCTGCTGAGATTTGAACTGGTCATGAGTTTCATTATTTGGTATGACAGACTAAGCCTCATTCCTGAGTCAAATCCTTTTTTTTTTTTTAAAATCCCTTTCAATAAAAAGAAAAAAAAGAATAGTGCTACGTTTCAGACCCATCAACAGTCCCAGAACGAACACGGCTGACCTTTAAAAGTACTTTAAGTGCTTGAAGAAGCATTTCTTCAAATTCTTTAAATTGCATACACTGATTTTGTGACAAGAATCATTTTCATTAAGCTGTAAAAGCCCCACAAAATGAATTAAGCTAAATAATTCATCTTAAAACAAAGTTATTGTATTTCCAGGTGTCCATGTTGTATTTTTACACACATGTATTTCATGCTATATTAAATATCTAAATATCTTTTACACTTTTGACTCAAAAACCTTTCAATTTTTCCCCAAATCTACAATATGTTAATGAGCTCAAGAGAAAAGGGGAAAACACACAATTCAAGACAAAGGCTTGAGTTCTGTTATCAAAATAGAGTAATTTATTTGAGACACTGAATGACTTCAATGTTTTGTTTTTTTTTCTTGGAAACAGGTGACAGACCCTGGATCAGGGTGAAAAAGATAGTAGCCGTCACAGCGCTTATTCCATATTGGGCTCCTTAGCATGCCAAGAATGGCCACTGACCTACAGCCCAATGCTCAGTCTGACACAGACAATAATGGCTCTTAGCAAATAAAAAAAAAAGTAGTCAAAAAAAATTAAACACTCATTAGTATCCAATTGTGACATTAAAAAAAAACCAAAAAAAAAAACAAAAACAAATAGTTGGACCTTGACTTTCAGCAAAATGTGATTTTTTTTCTGAGCCCATCGATACAAAAGTGCACTTCATGTTGCTCCTGCTGAAGCTGGCAAAAAGTGAGAGACAAAAACAAATAAAATCAAACAATAAGATGAAATTTTAAAAAATATTAAAAGCTAAAAAGGCAAATCAAAGTGGTAGCAGGTTTGCTTGAAGATACTTTTACTTTACATCCAAGCAGGCAGACATACTGCTCACAACACACATTTCAAGCTCAGCACAGCTTTAAAAAAAAAAAAAAATTTAAACAATAACAAGGCTTTTGCATAAAATCCACCTCCTGGTCAAATGATCTGAATTTTCAGTAGGCTGATCAGAGGAAAAGTGCCAGAGAGGAACCATGCTAATAATAAAACAAGCTGCAGAAACTTCCCTTGCTTGTCTGCTTGGCAGTTACAGGTTTGTGAGTCCCGTGATGACTTGTTTTACACACAAAACAGAAATAAAAGCAGCAGGCTAAGTAGGATAGTGATGACTGCTAATATCTTTAACAAGAGAACTTCCCAAATGCAGATGATGCGGTGTACATTTCCTCCATGGCTTTTAGTGATCAGCAGAGAAGAACAACAATGCTCAAGCCATTTTCCTTGATGTTTTTTCTGTGATTCACTTAACGAAAAGTAAGCTCAATCAAATGGATACGACTGGCAGATTTCAGAAAGACTGCAACATAAGAAGCTCATGAAATATGCACTTCATTTAAAGAGTGGTCTTGTCTTGAATTATCAGCAAAGATCTGATAGCTCTAGCCATTAAAAAGCCCCTACAGGATTGCAATAAAGTGTGCTGTATATAAACATATATACACAGTATATAAGTCTGTGTATGAATCTAATTTACATCTTTACATTCTTTAAATTTACATCTAGAGTGGCAGATAATTCTCTGTATAAAGCACACTTTTCACATCTTGTCCACAGAATGACGTTTTCTGACGACTGAATCGAACAGGTCATTTTTGGAAGTTAGGACAATTTCTCGGCAGGCTTTTCCTTTTGTGTTGTTGAACCTGATGTTAAAAATGAGCTAAGAACTACCTCGTAGCGGCACATTCAGTTTGATTTTCAAAAATCCATCTGTGGAAAATAGATACAAATAAAGAAAAAAAGAAAAGACGGAGGAACAAAGGAAAAAAGAAAAGGAAAGGAAGAATTACTCTTGAAACAAACGTTTCTCCACTGGGGAGAAATTAAGCACTGTTGTACAGACAGCAGCAGTGATTCAGTTTTCAGTATCAGCTACTTTCATTGTGTTACTTCATTAGGACATGAAGTTCCGCGCAATTTGTTTCCTCTCACAGCCAGACACCAGTGTCTCAATAACACTTTTGTCTTTATATATCTCGGCTCATCCGTGTGTTTCTACCCTCACAACCCGAAAACGGTGGACCAGTGGCCCGTGGGGATCGCAGCACTTCATCATAAGGAACCATTTTAATACATGGATGCACCCAGCGAGTTGTGTCCAGTCTAGGGGAATCTCTTAGCCAGCTTCCGCTATGTCTCAAACAGGCTTCTCATAAAATACACACATCGACTGGAAGGTGCGCTGAATTCAGTTGGAGTTAAAACCGCTGAGGTGATCTGGTTTTATTCCGGTGAGAGTTTTCATTCAGTTCACCTTTACAGCCTTTCTTGAGCAATGAGTGTGTGTTTGCTGATGGCAGGAGAAGGCATTTTTCTCCACAATCCAGGATTAATCATCAAGTGGTCTATTTTCGGAGATCGAGAACACAAACCTAGAATGTTAAAATAAATAAATAAAAATTAGATAGCTTTAATATTACATTTCAAGTCTGCATTTTTACTCGCTGTTCTTCAAATATTGGTCATGAGAACTTTCTGACATTTTTGTTTTATTTGAAATTAAAAAACTGTAAAATCAAAACAGCTTACCGAGCCGTCGGAGGCACTGGCACCAACTTTGTCTCCGGTGCTGTTCCAGCACACCTCGAAGATGCCGCCAGTACCCCTGTAGCTGTGCACCAAGGCTCCAGTCTGAAACAAAGCCACAAACAAATGATGATAAATGACAATTAATTGTCTCTTCTCTGTCGTTTGGCACAGTATAAATTCCAGTCCGGCTCTTACCGTAGTGTTCCAAATGTGGACACATTTATCAAAGGAGCCGCTGGCTAGGTGTTTGCCATCAGGGCTGAAGGCCACGCTGTAGACCGGTTCCTGGTGCCTGGTCAGTGTATGAATACAAACCCCTCGTTCAACATCCCACAGTCGCACTGTAGAGTCAAAAGAAGCGCTGTGTGGAGAACAGAGGATAGGAATCAGATGGTTAAGCAGCATCAAAGCATCCTAATAATCAGTTTCTTCAATAAATGCTAGTTTTTATTTCCACTGCTTTATATTGCAGAGGAAGACGCAGGAAAAAAAGGGGAAAAAATCCATTATTGAAAGCTACCCATTTGCATCATTTCAGTTTTTAAAGGCCATGTCCTAACCTATTTCACATTGCCTGTTATATCAAACTCTAAATTTACTGAAGATTAAAGTAAATGCAGAATAATTATTGTGCCAGATGTGCAAGGATGTCATTACGCACCGTGGACATTCACAGTATTGAAACTAGGAAATATATACATGCATGCACATCTGTGTCTGGGTGCAGGGATTTAGGTAACACAGTAGCGCTGAAATTTTGCCTGAGACATAGTTTCTTCTCGTTAAGAAGCATCGGGGCTTGTGGCCTTCGCAAACACATCTATAAGGTTCAACATACACACAGCTCATAGTGAACACAACAAGCCAGGACTTCATTAAAAGTTGACCCGTGTGATTGGCAGCCATGTACGGTATTGAATGTGAGTTATATATAGTCAATCTCCTACCTGGCAAGCATGATGTTGGCGTTGGGGTTATTTGTGCTGGGGCCTGTGGGGCTCCACTTGATAGTGTAGATTTCTTTACTGTGAGCCTGGAGGTCATGGACACATGACTCCTGCTTCATACTCCAAATCTGCACGTGAGGGGAATGGCAAGAGCAAAGTATGTATGAATACAAATCAATGTGTTTGTTTTCTTTAACCTCCAAGACCGGAGACTGGTCTTACCTTTAAGGTCATGTCATCCGAGCAGGAGGCAAGCAGCATACCTGATGGGTCCCACTTAATGGCATTAACTTCATTCTGCAAAACAACGCTCATTAGCATGTATGCTGAGGTAGAACTAAAGTTAGTGTGAGAGATGGGGTCAGAAAAGCTGCTCACCGTGTGGCCCTGGAAAGTCTTGAGGGGGCGGTCGCTGCCAAGTCGACATACGTGGATGCACATGTCTGTGCTGCAAGAGGCAAACGTGGTGTTGTTCTGCCAGTCAACATCCAGTGCTGGGGCTGTGCACAAATCCATACTCATTAGGGTTGCACGATCGCAACTGAGCAGCAGTCACTTTGTAACATATTCATTATCTATAACAGTCATTTATCTGGATACATGAATTCGCTTTACCTGAGTGGAAGGGGAACTGCTGTTTGGCTTCTCCTGTGTGTGCGTCCCAAATGATTGTCGTCTGGAAAAGTTACAATTGCATTTTAAAACACAAGCTCAACTTTTCTGCACAAATGCGCATGCCTCATCTGTCGTTCGATGGTCCATAAACACATCTGCAGTTAATGTCACCGACTCAGTTTTTATTTGCTTAACCTTTCTTGGTAAAGTTTTACTCCCTTCCATTTGAATAAATGTCTGTTGTGCTATAAAAAGACAAATTAATCTTAAAAGACAGATAAGAAAATTTAATGTGTGAGCCAAAAATTTCAGGTTTCTTTCCCTGTTTTTATACTGTTAAGAATTTTAGGTTATGGATATGAGAAAATGATATGTCAGAGATTTAGTCTTTGTCTGATGAGCAAAAAAAAGGCTGGTTTGACACAAAAAAAGCAAACAAACCCCCCCAAAACATAAGGATATTATTAGTGAAAGACAAATCCACGCCTGGGGATCTTTAGGAGTACCTTATCTACACCAGCGCTGAGAATACAGTTCCCCTTCTTGTTCCACTTGAGTGCAAATATGGGCCCTTTGTGTTGACCCAGTGTGCTTGCCAGATTTCCTAATGGATAAGAGTAATATCAGTTTCTCTTAGAAAAGATCCCTCACAAAATTGTCACGAAGGTTGCATTTTTCACATCAACAATGCCAAAAAAAATCTAATGGCAAAAGAAACAACAATGTGTGACAATGATGGAGGACATACCATCCTTTGTCCATATCCTGGCAAATCCATCATACGAGCCCGTTGCCAGGAGAGTCCCATCGCTCTGTTGGACGACAACATAACAGAACTGTTACCTGACGGCATTGCCTGTTTACCAGATGGTAAAGGTACGAGAGGAAAGATGTGATGTATGATCTGAAACCTACATTCCAGTCTAGGGAGGTGACGTCTTTGTTGCTGGGGACATCCTGGCCACCTTCTCGGATACAGTGGCGCAGGACCAGCTGGGTGGAGATTGAGTTATTATTCTCGTTCAGGTTCCAGATCCTGGCAGTGGAGTCCCCTGAACTGAACCAATCAACATAACAGGAGGCGGTCAAATGATTGTGGAAATACAACCTATCAGCAGTGTTTTTTTATAAAGCTAGATGTCTTACACCACAGTGTAAATACAATACAGTACGATTCATGCAGGATGAATTAAGATGTGTTTCAGCACAGACAGAGACTGACCCTGAGGCCAACAGATCGCTGACAGGGTTCCAGGCGCAGATGAAAACTTCAGACTCGTGGCCTCTGAGTACTGTAGCTTTACTGGCTGGTATCTCAACATCCACATCCAAATCCATAGGCTCACTGTGGTTATCTGAGGAGTGGACAGATACATATTTTATGTACATTAACATACACGCAAAACATAGATTTGCCTACAATTCTCAGCAAGTTTTAAGCATTCTGTAGATTTACCATTAATGTTTACAGTATTTAGTTTAGACATTTATCAAAGGAGGTGAATATATTACTTTTCAAGCAACAGGGGGCCAACAAAGAAAATCAGTAATCTATTCTAAAAAGTCAACTAAAGTATATATTGATGTGCTTCAACTACTATGACATCTCTCATTTTAAAAGCAACTCTCAAGCTGTTATATTCCAGTAAGAAAACTCTGACCTGTGCATCACATATTACTTCACACGTGTGTTGGGCAATGGAAAATGACTATCACTGCTACAGACATAACTGAATATACAGTAATTGACTGTGAGCTTGACACACATCTGTAACAAAATGAGGTCACATTAACAGACCTCAGAAATGTATTACATGAGTCACCATTTCTGTCATGACTCAGATATTTGGGTTAAAGTTAAGAGACAAAATGTGGTGACTGTAAGCTGCGACCAACGACATTAATGTTCAACTTACTCATGCTGTGAGTACCATTCTCCTCGCCATTGACAGTGGCTTCTCCATTTTTTGGCGCATTGGACTGGATTCCAGAGGTTGAAGCTGCTATGGTACAGGTGGTCTGCTGCTGGGCTAGTCTGTCGCGGAAGGCCTGCTGCCGCGTCTGCACCACATCTGGCATCACCGCGTCAATGAGCGACAGTGACTCAATCGGCCGACCGTCAAAGACCGTGCCGTCCTGTCATCACAAGAGGAGTTAAGAACCATCGTGGAGGGGTGTGGTTTTTAATTAGTGACTCGTCTCATTTTCCTGATAATCGTCAATTACAAAGGTGAAGAGTGCTTCCTAATTGGCAGCCTAATACAAACACACTTCAGGGTTTCTTCCAGTACAAGACAACGTAAGTG